ATTCTAATCCGACTAAACAGTTAATCGTAACCGCGATTAGAAAATGAATTTTTAATCATTAACTTTGAATTTGATCAAGTAGGTTTGGTGATTAATTAAGGTATGCTGGAATTTCCCTGTGCACACAAAGCAAGTTAATCCGGTATGGCTAAGTCGGGTTTCCTCATCTATCTAAGCAATTTGGTGTGCATTTTCATTAAGATATATATCAACAGACGTTTTACAAACTAGGTTTGTAAAAGTTCCCAGTTTGTATATTACTAATAACAATAATTATAATTGTTTTTATATTATGTGCTTTTTATAAGCATAAAACACAAAATAATTACTATAACTGGTGTTTAGTTTCAAACTCGGACAAACTAGTCAAATTAATCAGATTTTATTTTTAATTGGATTAACGATTAATGTTTTAAACTAATTAAACGTAATCGCAGCCAGCGATTAACGATTAAAAAAATGTAATCATTAATCGTACAGTTGATTACGACTAATTAATGTAAATCATCAAACGCGAGTAACATTTTAATCGTTAATTTTTAATCGTTAATCAGATTAACAGTTTGCCAACACTGTGTGAAATCATGTTCATATTCACGGAAAAAAGGGACGTGTTTGGAAAAGAGGCGTAGCACCTCCCATACTGACTGAAAGTTTCATATTACATATCTCTTCAAATGTTTGGGGTAAAGCACTCAAGCTTGGTATGGAAATACATATGTATGTATGTATGTGAACCTAATAACATGGAGAAAATTGAGAGTTATTGGAAAAGGTGTTGTGGCAACTCCCACGCAAATTGATTTTTGTATGCTGTATATCTCTGGAGGTGTTTATTGCAGAGGACTGGAACTTGGCACCGAGATGTGTATACAAAATTAATTCCATACTCATGGAGAAGAATTTGCGTTATTCGAAAAGGGGACATGGTTCCTGCCGTACAAATTTACTGTTTTATACTGCTTATCTCTAGAGGTGTTCATGGTAGAGTTCTGGGACTTGGTACTGGGGTATGTAAAATCAATTCTAAATTCATGGAAGAAGATTAGGGTTATAAGAAAAAGGGGCGTGGCACTTCCAATATAAATTTACTTTTTCTTGCCATATATCCCTGGAAGTGTTTGTGGAAGAATACTGGAACTTGGTATGGAGTTGTGTATACAAAATGTATCAATTGCTCATGGGAAAAATGTGAGTTATTAAAAAAGGAGGCATACATACTAAATACTTCTTAATACATATCTCTGAAAGAATAGAAAATCTCTCGAAGTATTTTAAATTTGTTATGGAGATTTATTTTATAAGTGCCGTACTGACAGAATAAATTTCATTAAATGGAAAAGGGAGAGCCGGGTTCGGCCTTGTAATCTAAAGCTCTTTTGAGGCATTTGATACAGTAATGAGAAAGGGTATTTTATCAAGGCCAGGTTACTAAATTTGAGTTGGAAATATTAGAACCCGCCGTGGTACCTCCAAGAAGGTTACACGTTCACGCGTCGTATACCTGGAACCATTTTAAGGTAAACTTAGAGGGATTGATATCTTTCGTATGCCTAGCGCGCAGACGAGATTTTATAATTTCGTAGTTTTAAACGGACTAAATACCTTAACTCGCTTAAAAAATAGCGAGCTATAACGAAATGGGCACAGAAATAAAATCTAACACAATTAAATTATTTTTCATATTTGTATAAAACCCGCGGGTATAAGCTAGTTTTTCATATTTTTTTTCATAATATAGTTTTTTTTCTCGTAATTCTTAATATCTTACACTTGTTTTAGCAATAGGTGAAGTTAATTAAACTTGATTAAGTTTTACCAGATTAGTCTCATAGTTAGGAAATAAGTTCACACATGTTTGTATATACGTAAAGGGCAGAGCACACCCTCAATCGAACCTGCTCGATTAGAAGCTAAATTAGGTTGGATCGAAATCTCAAACTTCATCGTCGTCGCTGGGCCCACCGTCGCATCGATGCTGCCGTCATATGCGAGTAAGTTCGAACATACATAATTAGCATGTTTATTTTATTTTATGCACACATGTATACATGTGTGTACATTTAAATGAGCTAAGTGAATCGAGACAAGTGATTTTTTTTGTTAAATAGTAATGATGTTAGGGAAATAGATTTAAGATACTTATTTATGCATAATAAGATATTTACTTATAGGTTAAGGAGATTTTTCTATGTTAACTTTAAGAGGAATTTTTGTATTAAATCCCATGAATTGAAGATGTTGTGGTAATTTGAATTATGATGTGGAAGAAATGTAGGATAAGGTCATGGTGAGGTGAAATAAGAAATTAGTTGGGTTAATAGAATGAAGGAAATCTCTATTAACAGATTGGGTGGGTAAAGGCAGAGGGAGAAATGCTATCTTCTATCCCCTCCACTTCCAAGTGGTTGTAGGGTATCTTTTTTTTGTTGTGTTTTCTTGGACATTTTCCTCCTTAATTGATTTTGCTGCTTCATTTGGTTTCGTAGGCCGGTTTCTTTAAGTTCAATTTCTCTCCATATCTGCATACTTATATATTTTTTTTTGTAAGACTTTCGCTGTATGTACGGACGCAATCCCACGCCCTTTGCCCTGAGCTAAGCTGTAGCGTAGCAAGGTATGCAGAACTGCTGAAGTGCATGCACCTACTCTTTATCCTTTGATCTTTTAAGCAGCCCTTTTGGAGAAAGTCGTTACAAAATGATGCAACGGAAATTATTGGGGCTGAAACAAGTGTTTCTTGAGTGTATGTATTAATTTAACAAAAAAGTGCTAATAAAATGGTGCAACGGAAATGATGCAACGGAAATGGAGCAAAGGAAATTATTGAGGCTAAAACAAGTGCTTCTTGAGTTTATGGTATTAGGTTAACAAAAAATTGCTAATAAAAGGTTAAAGAATACAACTTAGAAAAATACCAATACAATAATAAAAGTAAAGGTGAGTACGTACATAGATAAAGAAAAGGATAGAGGCAAAGGTAAAAATAAAAACAAAACCAAAGATGCGTAAAGATAAAGGCAAAAATGAAGACCAAGGTAAATTTAAACACTTTACTTAATAAGGGCAAAGGTGAAGGGGAATACGTAGATGAAGAAAATGATAAACATAAAAGTAAAAACAAAGATGAGGATGAGGATACCGATAAAAGTAAAGACGAAGATAGGGGAAGAAAGATTAAAACAAAGGTAATTGAAGAGGAAAAGATACAGAGAGAGACACAGAGACTCAATCTGGAAACTATTTTGGGTTTTGTCATCGATATTTTTATCGATTTTGTTATCGATATTTATCGATTTTTTATCGATATTTATAGATTTTGTTATCGATTCTGTAATCGATTTGGTTATCGATACTTATCGATTTTGTTGTCAAATTTATCGATTTTGTTATCGATAATTTGTCGATTTTTCTATCGATATTTATCGATTTTTATCGATATTTATCGATTTTATTATCAATATTTATTGATTTTATTATCGATATTTATCGATTTTGCTATCGATATTTATGGATTTTGTTATCGATATTTATCGGTTTTTTATGGATATTTATCGATTTTGTTATCGATTATTGTCGATTTTGATATAGATTTTCTAATCGATTTTGCTACGAATGGTATTATCGATGTTGCCGTTGAAATTTTTATCGAATTTGTCATCGATTTTGGTATAGATTTTTTATCTATCTATCGGTTTTGTTACCGATATTTTGTTGGACGTTATTATCGATTTTGTTATCGATAGAGTATAAAGATAAAAATGAATATAATGGAAAAACAGTGTTCGGGGGAGACAAGCGTTTTTGTCTACCTCTTTGCCTTTCTACACAAAGAACTGCGATGCAAAAAAAAAACAATGTGCCTCTCAAAACTGGTTGACAACAAGCGCACGAATTGCTTTATTGCATTAACATGTGTGCTATTTATACAAGCTAGTGTGACAGAATGTAAAGAGCATATTCCAATAGATAACAATGAGCGCGAGTTAATATAACATATATCGTATAATTACAAATGATCATTACGCTCGTCGCTTTAAGCTGGGGACAGACTTAGTTAAGTATGGCATCTAAATCTCGTAGCTATGATCTGGACATACTCCCCCCGTTGAAAGCCGTAGGTGCTTTTAACTTATTCAACTGGTAGTAAGCAAAGCTTTGTGATGGCCCGTTGAGTAGTCCCATTTATGGTACGAATGATCGCCACTCGTGCTATGCCATCCTTTCCCTTCACGACGTCAACGATATGCCCCATTTGCCACTTCATCGTTGGAAGATTGTCATCCTTCAAAAGTACCAGAGAATTTACCTCTACGTTTGGTGATCTTTTCCGCTACTTGCTACGCTCTTGCAAAAGTGTTAGATAGGCAGTGCTCCAGGTCTTCCAGAATAGCTGCTGAATGCGCACCATCCTTTGCCAGTGGCTAAGCCGGTTTAATTCTATGTTCGCTAAGTCAGGTTCCGCCATAGCCGTAAGTGCGCCTCCGGTTAGAAAGTGTGCTGGAGTTAGAACTTGTAAGTCGTCGGGGTTTTCTGAAATGGGACAGAGAGGTCTTGAAGTTATGATGGCTGTTATCTGACAAACAATCGTGCGAAGTTCTTCGAAACTCAACACAGTGAGCCCTACTGCCCTACGGAAGTAGAATTTTGCCATTTTAACGGCGGCCTCCCACAATCCTCCGAAATGGGGGGATCGAGGTGGAATAAAGCGCCAATCAATTCCGTCATCAAGGCATTGATTTTGCACTGCGTTGACATGATGCTCATTAAGCAAAAGTGCGCGAATTTCTTTTAATTCGTTTTTAGCTCCAACGAAGTTGGTAGCGTTGTCTGACCAGATAACTCTTGGTTTGCCGCGCAAGCTAACAAATCGCTTAAGGGCCGCAAGGAACGAGGTCGTTGTTAAGTCCTTAACCAGTTCCAAATGACAAGCCTTGGTTGAGAAGCAAATGAATATGCAGATGTAGCATTTCACAGGTGGCCTATTCCGCACATCAGGCTTATAACAAAACGTTGCATCTGAACGCGTTCTGCTGGCAATCACCCATGATATTCTGCAATAACTTCGGTTTGGCGCGAAAGCACTGAATACATTTGTTAAGTACGTGAGCTACAGCTTTCCTCCCTCCAATAGGCCAATATTGCAGACGAATGGTTGCAAGTAAAGCTTGGGGTCCGGCATGCAATAGTTTGCGATGATAGTGCTCAATGATACTTCTAGTAAGTGGATGGTATCTGGGCAGTATGATCGGATGTCTGGCATTGAAATTCAAACTTGAGTTTTGAAGGCGTCCTCCAACACGAATCATTCCACCGGAGTCTAAAAACGGGTTCAATGAGCTGATTTTGCTTGATGACTCAATCGAACGTCCAGCCTTAAGTGATGCATACTCCTTTGGTAGAGAAGCCATTTGAACCATCCGAATGAGCAACTTAGTCCCAGTTTCGATTTCGTCTAAACTTAGTAGAGCCGATCTCTTCGATGATCTTCCTTTAATAAAACGATTAACAAAAGCATAAATTCTCTGCATAGATCGAAAATTAGATGATGCGATTAGCATGGTACGCCGTTTCTCTAACAAAGCGCTTTCGAGCTTTGCTAGCTTGGGCCATTCACACTCCTCCTTTTTCAGGAAGACGGGCCCGTGTTTCCACAGCGACGACGACATTAGCTCACTGGGTGAGCAACCTCTAGACGAAAGATCTGCAGGGTTACACTCCGTAGTGACGTGTTTCCAATTCATGCCCTGAGTAAGATCTTGGATGCTACTAACTCGGTTGGCCACAAATGTATTGTAATTTGCTGCAATGCCGTTTATCCATGAAAGCGCAATTGTTGAGTCTGACCAGCAAACAAATTTTCCTGTAAATGGGCTCAGCCTTTGTATTGAAGAAATCAGATCAGCCAATAATTTAGCCGCACAAAGTTCCAACTTCGGAATCGATAAAGATTTTAGTGGTGCTACTCGGGATCTAGAGCAGAGCAGGTTTACATGCACGACATTATGCAGTTTTACTCGAACGTAAACGCACGCTACGTAAGCTGCCATACTAGCATCACAAAATCCATGCATTTGAGCTTCGCCCGCACCAAGTTCTACAAAACGGGGAAAGTAAATTTTATCCACAAAATTCAACTCGTCGCACAATTTTGTCCATGCAAATTGTAAATAAGACGGAAGGCTTTCATCCCATGTTAAATTTTCTTTCCATAAGCTTTGCAAAAAGACTTTCGCTTTTAACACCACCGGACCAATTAGACCAAGAGGATCATAGAAACTAGCGGTTACTGACAGCACGCTTCGTTTTGTTACCCGTCTGGGCGGAGGGGGTAAGCTAAATTCGAATTGAAGTTCATCCCTTTTAGGGTCCCAAACTATACCCAAAGCCTTTGTGATGCTATTGCCGTCACTGAACTTTAAATATTGTTGCCGATTAGATAACTCAATTCCTTGAAGGATCTTTTCGTTATTTGAACACCACTTTCTAAGTATGAAATTTCCCTTTTCCAGAAGTTTTTGTGTTTGCGTCATTATTTGCAATGCTACATTTTCTGACTTTCCCCCCGAGATAAGGTCATCCACATAGAAATCTCTCAAAACTATCTCTGATTCTAGAGGATAATTGCATGCCCCATCAAATGCCAACTGATGCATCACCCGAATGGCTAAGAATGCCGCTGGTTTGGTTCCGTAGGTCACGGTATCCAATCTATAAATTCGATAATCCTCCTCTGGCCGCTCTCGCCAGAGTATGCACTGTAAAAAACTGTCGTTTTCGTCCACCTTTACGCACCTGTACATTTTGCAAATATCTGCTGTTATAGCGATTTTGTGGGACCGAAACCTCAAAAGGGTGTCAACAAGCTTTGGTTGTATGGTAGGACCAGAAAGTAAGATATCGTTTAACGAAACGCCTGTGGAAGTCGGAGCAGAAGCGTCAAAAACCACACGAAGTTTAGTTGTGGTGCTATCTGCTTTCAATACACAATGATGCGGTAAAAAGTTTATGTGAACCCCGGGGGGAATAGTTTTAATCAACGACATATGCTTAAGTTCTAAATACTCCTTAATGAAGGCAGAGTATTCCGCTTTCAAATCAGGATTCTGTGAAAATCGCTTCTCTAGACCTCTAAATCGACGAACCGCATTTGAATAAGAATCACCTAAATTCGAAATGGTGGATTTTATTGGTAATCTAACTACGTATTCTCCTGTATCCAACCGACGAAAATTGCTAACAAAGTGGTCCTCACAAACCAGGTCCTCTTTAGTACGCTTTATGTTTTCCTCAGCACAGTCTTCTATCTCCCAAGAACTTTTGACTAAATCGTTTAATGAAGTGTCCGCGTAGTTACTTGAAGTAGCAGCGCAGACTACTGCTTTCGAAGACCCGACTTCAACCTTTCCTGCCACAATCCATCCTAGTCTTGTTTTTTGCAATATTGGAAGGCCTTGTTTCAGACAAATTTGCCCCACGCATAATAGTTCGAAGAATAAACTTACACCAATTAATAAGTCAATCTTCTGTGGGCGAAAAAATGAAGGATCCGCTAACGTGATATTTGCCGGAATATTCCACTTAACGTTCGACAAATTTGTTTCAGGCTGCAATGTTGTGATGGTTGGCACAATGACAGCCGAAAGCGATGTGGAATAGGACCCATCAGAGGCCTGCATGTACAAAATAACGTTTTCCTTTGATAAAATATCAGATGCTCCTATTCCCGAAATTATTGTTGTGGATTTAGATTTGCTAAGTTGCAAGCGATTGGCCATATCTGAAGTTATACAATGCAATTGCGATGCGGAATCAAGCAAGGCTCTACATGGAACGAAGTTCCCATGGCGATTTTTTAGCATAACGACAGCAGTAGCTAACATAGCCTGCTCCTTAGACACGAATGCAACAGGCTGCTTGGAGTCTGCAATAAGAGCCGTTTTTGTCTCCGGAGATGCCACTGCCTCCTCGAGAACAGGAAGAGCGATTGACGACAAGTGAAGCAAGGTATTGTGTTTGCCTGAACAACTTTTGCAATTGCTTGATTTGCAATTTTTCACGATATGACCTTTTCGCAAACAGTTAATACAAAGCTGCAACCTTTTGGCTTGAAGCGCAGCGAAGGTGATAGATTTAGAAACAAAGGGCACGTGGAAATGAAATGCTCTATACTATTGCAAAATGTGCACCCTTTGGCAGGACTGGCGGTGACAAATGATTGTTTACGAATGGAATTATTTTTATGATTCACCTGTTTTCTTGAACTGAATGTAGTGTTTTCAACGCTCTCCATTATACGTACTCTTCTTTCCAAAAATTTAGACATCAAGTCCCACGAAGGTAGCTCGTAAATCGGTGCATGCTCTTCCCACTTGGATTGTGTTTCGACATCTGATTTGGTGGTGACAATATGGATGAGAATGCCGTTCAGTACTTCGTCGTTAGTCGCAATTGTTTGTAGTGCCCGAAGATGACTGCCAATTTTATCGCTGAGCTCTCGTAAGCCATTTGCGGAACCTTCTGCAACACCCTTCAAATTAAAAATCTCTTTAATATGTGCATTAAATTGAGCTCTTTTAATATCGAAACGTCTTTTTAGTAATGTTACCGCCTTTTCATAATTTTCCGCGTTGATTTCCAAAGACCGAATAGCATCTAAAGCGATTCCACTTACGCATGACCTTAGGTGTTGAAACTTCTCGACGCTTGACAAGTTCGTCTCCTTATCCACGACTGCACTGAACATTGCCCAGAAGTCTGGCCATTCCGTAATTACTCCACTGAATCGGGGTAACTGCAACGGTGGCAAACGAGATCTTGGGACCACCGTGATGGAGGGCACTGCGGAATGTTCTTCCATCGTCGACTGCCGACGAGTGGAGGATTGAGCGAACGTGGAAGAACGTTATCCAAGGCCTTTCGTAAGTGCAGCTTTGACAAATATAAATGAGTCGAGGAATTCCATACGCGTTTCACTTTCAATTTCGGCGTTGTCTTCCTTCTCCAGCTGCGACTGTACCTCTTCAAATTGCACCTGCATTCTTTCCAACTGCTCCAGTTTTACAATTATACTGGATTCATCTGCGCCAAGTAGGCTGTGTTCCTCGATTTCAGCTCTAAAGTTGTTAACTTGCCTTTTGAACCACAAACTTTTTCGCTTAAGAAATGTGATATTTGGGTTCTCCGATTGTTCTCGAATAGCCTCACGTCTTTTATTTGCTCGAGTCTTTATGCTTGTGTAAAATTGAACAAAAGCAAAGGTGAGCCAGAAAGAAAAAAACGGTAACCGATCAGGCGATCCAACTGGTGATGTTAATAACGGAGCTAATCCAACAACTACTGCTTCAGAGATACACGTAAGTATCACGTCGGGGTCACCAATGTTCGGGGGAGACAAGCGTTTTTGTCTACGTCTTTGCCTTTCTACACAAAGAACTGCGATGCAAAAAAAAACAATGTGCCTCTCAAAACTGGTTGACAACAAGCGAACGAATTGCTTTATTGCATTAACATGTGTGCTATTTATACAAGCTAGTGTGACAGAATGTAAAGAGCATATTCCAATAGATAACAATGAGCGCGAGTTAATATAACATATATCGTATAATTACAAATGATCATTACGCTCGTCGCTTTAAGCTGGGGACAGACTTAGTTAAGTATGGCATCTAAATCTCGTAGCTATGATCTGGACAAACAGAATAACATATAAAACGAACAGGGGTAGAGGTTGGGATCTAGATAGAAAAAAGAGAAAAAATATAACCTTAAGCAAAAGCAGATGTGTGTATGTATACATTGGTTATGAGACAAAATAGATAAGTAACGTAAGTTTCACTTCTCTAGTGTGGCCCAGGCGCACTTATTTTTTTAATTACAATTACAATAGTCCTTCATAATCCTGGCGTTTTATATAAAGTGAGTAAACGCCAACTTACAAGATTCATATGTGTCCACAAACATAAATTCTTATTAATTATTGGACACGTTTCAAACTGTTGCTCGACATTACGGTTGCCAGATGTACTGATTTTATCAGTACAGTACTGGTTTTTCAACTCTTATAGTGATTTTATTCATTTCTTCAATCAGTACGCTAATGTCCTAATATTTCCAAAATTTGTACTGATTTGTACTGAATTTTCAATTCAAACAAAATACTTTAGGATTTTCTTAAGGTTTTCACATGACGTTGGAACTTCTTTAAACTGTACTGTAAAAAGTAAGAAGAAAATAATTTAATTATGTGCATATCGCCGGATTGTTACGTACCAGTTGCGATATTATGATGGAGCTTAAATTATTTAAAAAGAAGACGGACATTTTTTTGTCGAGTGGTGTTAATTATCTCCATGATACAAATATTTAAAAGTAAAACCGCTAGCTCAATTCGTCGGCCATCATTTATTTTTTGAAGTTTGTCTACTTTATAAAATTGAAATTTTCAGAGCAACTCAAATGCCAAATAAAAGTAAAATAAAAAACAAATAGACGAAAATATTCAATTTTTTTTTTATTTGACTCTGAACGTGAGAATGATTTTTGAGTTTGAAAATCTTAAAACATTTTTGTTATGTTAGCAAACTTCAAGTATGTTCTCAGTGGTTAACCTTGTGTTATGGTTATCTCAAAAATAACTTTCAGTTCAATATCAACAAATTTGAATATCCGAATGGCTTTTGTTTATAACTTAAAACTCTTTTCTCAATATTCTGACATTGTAAAAGAGTTTTGCATACAAGACATAGTTAGCTACTCCTTTTAGCGAATTCTTACTCTTTCAAAGTTTTTGCGTAGTTGAAAAAATTATTTAAGCCCTGAGGAAATATAGATGACGTCCTTAAGGAGTGGTACTTTTTCACAGTTTGAAAAAGTATTTAATTTTTTTTTTTTTTTTCAATACCACACTCAAACAAAGCAATTCTAATTTTTTAGTTTAAAATTTCAACTGCGAGCTGTGCTACTGATTTTAAATACACAATAAAATGAATAGGATTTACGAGCGGTGTGCTGTGTGTGGCAAAAGCCAGGACAACAATAGCTGCGGTGTTTCATTAGAATACTCTTCGTGTGTGTGCGAGAACCATCTTAGGGCCAGTGACTTTATATTTGTTGCCCATTGCAACTGAGTATTTCTAATCGCTCTCGTTCGTTCCCAGGCACAGTACCTCTACCTTGCGATTCCCCAATGCTTCAATTATCCCAAGATTCGGCCGTACCTGAGGTGTCTGTGGGGACGAAGTTAGCTGTTGATGCACATACCGAAACTGAGCAAGTGTGCCATAAACAAGCACGACCGGATCCACGAGTACACTAACATACTATATAAGCACCCTTTAGGATCTTGAAATAGACTTAGAGCACACCACAAAGTAGACTACAAGAGATTGTAAGTAGTCCAAAGTTTGGTCCAAGCACATGTAAAATTCTATTTACATTTAACACTGAATGTCCTAGGCTCGTACCAATTGTCCGCTTCTGCATTACATTGTAACCAATTTTAGATATAAAATAAATAAATAAAATAAAACTTTTGCCAGATGCGATTCGAACCGGGGTTCTAAGATTTTCTAAGCAGATACTCTCTGTGCATGCCAATGACGCACATGAAAATTCGATAACTAAGGGCCGGTTGTTCAATGTCTGATTAGCACAAATCGGAGGTAGAAGCTCCGGTTAAGCACAACTACTGCTTTATCGATCACATGTTACATGCATGATGTCGAAATCGTCGATAGTGTAGTGGTAGTGATAACCAGACATTGAACAACCGGCCCTTAGTGCCTACATATCAGTAAATCGTTAATTCTACCCGTTGTGCGCTACTGCATGACATTGATACAAAACTACTACACCTACGACTATATTTTTTGAGCAACTGGACCAATGTTTCCTTCAGGGCAAATGCTCCGCGAACACTAATGATAAAATTTGGTACATGCATAACAAAGGGTTAATTTCTTTGTTTACATTTTTTGACATTACAGTCAGCTATGAGAGAGCTCGACTGAGTTGTCACTTCTACCTTGTTGAATATACCTTGATCTTAAGTATAAAGTTTGTTTCCTGGCGCAAACAGAGGAACGTATTGAATTCTTTGACTATTTATTTATGTACCAAAATATTGTTAAAAAGAAGAACTCTGGCGTTTTAAAGCATTTTCTGTTTCTTAGATTCAAGGCACATAAATACAGGTAGAAGCAAAAATGACGTTGCTCTCATGAGAACCAAACCTTTAAACTTGGTTTTCTTTTATTTCCTATATTTCGTTACGCTTTAAATGACATGTCGTTTGCTTTTTTTGAATGCTCGTTAAAAACAAATTTTAATTAACATTTGAATTTTTGTAGTGTTGTGCGGTTTATACTTAGTGTATGTGTTAAAAATGCAACAGCTGAAGCGTTGTTTTTATGTGGTGTTAAATATAAATCAGATACCACTAATTTTTTTAACATGCCTCAATGTCCTTCGCGTAAGGAGCGTTGCGAAAGCAGATATGGGGCAGAGCTGCAGCGAAATGCCTTGCTGTGCGTTAAATATTTTAAAGCAGAAGATTTTATAAATGCACCGGGAGGAACAGGAAAGGCACGTTTGATGCCAAGTGCTGTTACTTTGACTCTTATGCCGGAAAGTCCCTCCAACAACACTGCAACTCATAAATAAAAGACAGAAAACAACAAGCAAATTAACAAAATTTAACTAAAGAAAATAAATAAATAAAATTAAACTTAAAATTTACTTAAAAACGTCAACCAGTGAAATGTAATTTTTTATTTTT